CCATTATGCCTGGCTAATTTTTGTATTTTTAGTACAGACGGGGTTTCAACATGTTAGCCAGGATGGTCTCAATATCCTGACCTCGTGATCCACCCGCCTCAGCCTCCCAAAGTGCAGGGATTACAGGTGTGAGCCACCGTGTCCAGCCTACTTATTTCTAATATAGAAACAGGAATACCTTTGCTTTGCCTTTGCTTTGCTTTGCTTTCATTTCAAGAATGGTCTATGTATTGCCCAGGAAGTATTTTAGTAAAGAAAAAGAGAAATCCTTCAAACTTTTTGCAAGTTTATTAAATTTCAAATAAATCTGTAGAATATTTCGAATTCTTTGAAGATGGCCATTTTAAAAACACAAAAATTACTCTGTTGGTCTTCTCATTTTAAAGGAAAGTTTGCCTTTGTCCTTTAGTTACTTCATGGTTTTGTTTTTTTAATTTTTTAAGGTAAGGTCTTGCTTTATTGCCCAGGTTGGAGTACAGTGGCACGATCACGGCCCACTATAGCCTCAAACTCCTAGGCTCAAGCAATCCTCCTGCCTTAGCCTCTGAAGTAGCTAGGACTATAGGTGTTCTCCACCATACCTGGCAAATTTTATTTTTTGTAGAGATGGGGTCTTGCCATGTTGCCCATGCTGGCCTCAAACTCCTGGGCTCAATGAATCTTCCCACCTCAGCCTCCCACACAACTTTCACGTTCTTCTCCTTTTCTTTCTCTTCCTCATAAGAAAACCAACAGTGTGGACCTAGAAAATAGCTCTCTGGTCAAAAAAAAAACTTCTCGGCCCTTCACTCAACAAAAACATAGCCTTTCCTTCTCTGGGCCAGGCATCAGCCCCCAATCTCCATTAGACCCTTCATCCTTCTATAGGAATGGTCAAGATTGTGAAAGACACCATGACAATGGCCAAAATTGCTGGGATTCTAGGCATGAGCCAGATAATCGCCAAAATTGCTGGGATTCTAAGTGTGAGCCATCATGCCCAGCCTACTTGGTTTATTTGTTGGGGCGCATAATTTGGCAGCTAAGGGCAAGTTATTTAAGTTCTTTAAGGCTTTGTTCCTTTTCCTGTAGAATGGGAATAATAATCTTATCCACATTATAGGGCAATGCAAGGATCACATAAAGCAGCATTCAGTATATATTCGCTATCATTATCATCATTGTAGTTACTGCTCTTTGGTTGTTGCCTTAGAGTGATAAATATATGTAAAAATGTTAGAGTTTTGTGGTAAAATAGACACAAGTAGAGCAGAACATTTTGAGCAGAGAGGTGATGAACCACAGCTAAAACCTACTCCAAAAGAAATTTATTGGCCGAGCACGGTGGCTCACGCCTGTAGTCCCAGCACTTTGGGAGGCCGAGGTGGGCGGATCACTTGAGGTCAGGAGTTTGAGACTAGCTTGGCCAACATGGTGAAACCCCATCTCTACTACAAATACAAAAAAAAATTAGCCGGGCATCATGGTGTGTCCCTGTAATCCCAGCTACTCAGGAGGCTGAGGCAGGAGAATCACTTGAACCTGGGAGGTGGAGGTTGCAGTGAGCCAAAATCACACCACTGCACTCCAGCCTGGACAACAGAGCAAGATTCCGTCTTCAAAATCAAAACAAAACAAGAAATGTATTTATCCTCTTCCCCAAGGTACATTTCGGAAACCAAAATTAACAAGCTCACAAAGAAGAGAAACTTTAGTGTGCCAGATTGACCAACAAACATACAGTTGTTACTTACATGTTTTACATTTACTTTTATATTTTGTGTTACAAGATATGATTGCTATTTTCAAGGGAGGAGAAAAATATATTAAGTTTATATATATATATATATATATATATATAAAATATAAACATTTTTGTCTTTTGATGCCCAGATTCTACGAATCATGGAGTCCATTTGGGAGACTGAATCTTTGGATCTGTGCCTCCTGCCATATGGTTGCATTTCAACTGGTGACAAAATAGGTGTGTAGTTACCTCAGGAGATGAATAGACCACTCAGCTCATTTGAAAGGATTATAATTCCTTCAGTATAGACATTTAATAACTGAAAAATCATAATCTTAATGAAAAGGAAGAAAATATTTCCATGCTGGTGAATGTGACTATCAACTTAATGTGGATATATTGAAAATACATGAATGCATGATTCAAATCCTTGTGACTATACATGGAAATGATTTTAGTAAGAACTTGTTCCCTCCTCTTTCCTTCTCCACCTCTAAACTTTAACTCATTTCATTACATATTAAACTTTTCTCTCACAAATAACATTTAAAAATAGATGGAAAGATCTGTCACTTATTTTAGTATTCCAGAATTCACATTATCAAAGCTATTACACACTCTACTATCAGGTATTTTTATAGACATTCACCATTAGTTTCAATGAAACATATGTTTATTCAAGTTTCTGATCTGAGAACTCTACAAAAATCATTTACATTGAACCCTGTAATTTAAAAAAGGAAAAGGCACAGATTGCCATCTGAGGAAGAATATGCTCAGCATATAAATGCTTTTATTTATTACTATTCAAAACCAGCCCTTTCCTCTTGTCATTCTGGGATATTGAAAGCATATCCCACACAACTTCCATGTCCTCCTTCTTTCCTTTCTATTCCTCATAAGAAAACCAATAGCATAGACCTGGAAAATAGCTCTCTGGTCAAAAAAAAAAAAAAAAAAACCTGCCCTTCACTCAACAAAGACATAGCTTTTCATCCTCTGGGCCAGGCACTGGTCCCCAGTCTCCATCAGACTCTGTGCATCCTTCTATAGGAATGATCGAGATTGTGAAAGACGCCACAACAATTGCCAAAATTCAGCAAAGCACCGTGGGCAACACGGGAGCATTTAAAGATGAAGTCCTGAATCACTGGCTCAAAGAAAAATCTCCTACTGAAGAAAAGGTGAGCTCATGCTTTTTCCCAGTCTAACGGCTCCTTACAAGTTGTCATTTATATAGCAATAGTGGCTTCACGTTTTCAAAGAATCTGTCAGTGTCTTGCCTCCTGACATATCAGTGAAATTTTTTACTTGTGAAATAATGAAGTACTCTCCCATGGTGACAGCACATCTGTGTGAAACAGAGGCACTCAGTTCAGGACTTCATGAGCATTTGCTTCTGTTTTGATTATCAGGCATGCTTTGCTTAAAATTTGGTTCTGTGAAATAATCTGTTAGCGCTTTTTATGGCTATTTTTGTTGTTCAGCCAAAATATTTAGTTACCATGTATAAATTCTTATGTACCTGGGAAATACAACATACACAACAAAGTAATTTATAATTTTCTGCTGAACTCTAATCTAAATGGTAAATCATGGATGCTGAAAATGTCAGTTCCACCATTCCTTGGAAGTGCATATGCTCCATCCTTCACAAGCTGTGTGGTTAGGCTGTTTGGCTGTCGTTTAAAGTTCTGCTGCACAGGATTAGCACTACTCATTTGCATGGTTAGCAGTCTTTTGGGGAGGAAATATAATGAGTAGCACTTATTAATCTGTTATACATGTAGATCTGTGAACCCAAGCATACTCTTAGTGGTCACAAGCAAAACCTGTTCACAAATGAAGGAGAAATTACCATGGGTTCTGTATAGTTGTTGGCAAGTGATGCATGGAGAGGAAGTGAACCCTTTGATTAAATTACTGTTGCCCTTTGACTCTTGTTTCTTCCTCATGCCATTGTGCTTCACTGAATCTTCACCTAAAATATAAGCAGGGCAATGAGAAAGATGGCAATTCATAGACATAATGCTAATGAAATCTGGCACAACTAACTTGCTGTCTGAAAATGGTTTCCAGAATAGTCTCTTTTTAGAAGTCATTTGTAGATTCATGTTGCTTTTTATAGTTAGAAGACAACTAATATTCAAATGCATTTTAATTAGTTTCAGGCAGCAGTGGAGAGATTTGTTTATTCCTGTGCAGGCTACTGTGTGGCAACCTTTGTTCTTGGAATAGGCGACAGACACAATGACAATATTATGATCACAGAGACAGGTGAGTTTATTTAGTGCAGAATAAACTTTTATTGTGGTAAAATATATATAACATTTACTATTTTAACTGTAATTTAACTGTTAAGTGTTCAGTTCAGTGGCATTACATATGTTCACCTTGTTGTACAACCATCATCACCATTCATCCCCAGAATTTTTCCATCTTCCCCAGCTGAAACTCTGTACCCATTAAACACTAACTCCCCATGTTCCCCTCCTTTCAAACAGAGTAGTCTTTAAATGGAGTTTAAGACTGAATCACATATTTAGAAGTCATTGTGTAGAGACATTGGTGCTTCGGTTACTCTAGAGCGGTGGCCCCCAACCTCTTTGGCACCAGGGACCGGTTTCTTGGAAGACAACTTTTCCACAGACAGGGGTGGGGGAACAAGGATGGTTTCAGGATCATTGCGCACTTTTTTTTTCAACTTGCTTGCCACTGTAAAGCCTGCCACCAGATGCAGCTCAATTGTCACTTGCCACTCACTGAGAGGGTTTTGATATGAGTCTGCAAGGAATTGCTTTATTATGGTCTCTGTGCAGTGAAACCTCTCTGCTAATGTTAATCTGTATTTACAGCCACTCCCCAGTGCTAGCATCACCACCTCAGCTCCACCTGAGATCATCAGGCATTAGATTCTCATAAGGGGCACGCAATCTAGATCTCTCTCATGCACAGCTCACAATAGGGTTTGCATTCCTGTGAGAATCTAATGTCACCACTCATCTGACAGGAGGTGGAGCTCAGGCACTAATTCAAGTGTTGGGGAGCAGCTGTAAATACAGATGAAGTTGCTCACTTGCCCATCGCTCACCTCCTGCTGTGTGACCCAGTTCCTAACAGGCATGGACCGGTCCATGGCCCAGGGGCTGGGGACCCCTGCTCTAAAGAGACCACCTCACTTGAGGACTGAGGTGTGAGTGAAGGAGGTGGAGCCAGGAAATGAGTCTTAAGAAGGCAAAGTTAGAGCGACAGCTGGGAAACTAGGAGAGGGTCATATCCCAGAAGCTGGCAAAGGTGGGAGTGATCACCAGTGACAGATGTTGCAGAGAAGCAACAGAAAGAACTCATAGATATCCTTAAATCTCCCTAACCCACTCCACTTTAGTGGTTCACTGTCCACTCTGACAACAGTCAGTAGTGGCCACCAAAGCATGAGATTTTTCTCTATGAATTTGAGCCATTTTAAGAGTAGAGTCTGGAAAAAGCATCAGATGGGGATAGATTGCTTACTTCCTATGAGAATTAAAAGAGATAATGTATTTATGGCAATAGAAATGATAAAGGACTAAACAAATAAGATGATGATGATTGTGGTGGTGATAGTAGTAGAGGTAGAAATTGACCCAAAGGAGACTCAAAATGATTTGCTTCTATCATGCTGCCCAAGTTTCCGAGATCGGACACGCTTAGATACATTCAGGATGGTATGGCCATAGATGGCTACTCAAAAGGAAAAGGTGAATATCCCTGCCCCCAAGCAGAGTGAAACATCAGTCTATCCTGAGTTACATAAAGAGCATAAGAGAGTCTTAGGGATAATGATGACATACTGGCCAGAGAGTTTGATTTATGTTTCTGAGAATAATTTTGAGATGAGAATTTTATAGTGGCATCTGGCTGTCATCTAAAGAACACCAGAAGGATATCAAAAACATACTTGGTTCAAAGAATGTTTTGTAGCTACGACTTTCACACACCTGCTAAGACGAAAAATATCACAAGCTGACAAACATTGTAAAAAATACTTTCATCACAAGATAGCTCATTTTTAGGCAACTCAAAGAAATATTTTAAGGAACAAAGTGCTGTGCCACTGTAATGATGTCAGATACTTTCTTCTCTTAAGGAAACCTATTTCATATTGACTTTGGGCACATTCTTGGGAATTACAAAAGTTTCCTGGGCATTAATAAAGAGAGAGTGCCATTTGTGCTAACCCCTGACTTCCTGTTCGTCATGGGAACTTCTGGAAAGAAGACAAGCCTACACTTCCAGAAATTTCAGGTAAGTCACCTCCTTCTTCATTGCCTGCTGAGAATAGCACCCAAGCAGATGGTACCTGCAGCACACCGCAGCCCTTACCTCTCACTCACCTTGGAGGCCAGTCCAGCCTTCACCCCTACCCTTTTCTGGCATGGCCAACCCTACCTCTTCCCTGTCACTTCCATTCATTCCTTCCCCAAGTGCAAAATGACACTTCTCAGTAATCCTCCCACCTAAAACCAAACAGAAGTAGAAATATTTCATAAGCAGTGAGATGGGAAAATGTGGAACATCAAGATGACGCTGGCACTAAAGAGGACTTTCTGGAAGGGTGTCTGCTGAGCAGGTTAGCCACTAGATATTTGTCTATTAAAGACCTTAGCTAGAAGACTCAAATTTTACACGTATTTTCCAGAACTCACAAAACGTTGTGAGCTTCTCTTGGTTTTTGCTACAGGTGAATTCCTGATGCGCCACCTGCGCTTATCTCATTTTTTTAAGGCACAGTACCCAGTATTTCATTTGAAATCTGTTGGTTTGACTACAGGTTCTGCTAAGACTTCTAGCTTTTCCTGCTCACCTGTAAACAAGCTCCTGTATAAGTCTGTCCATCTCCCTGGGAGTATGTAGATCAGGGGAGTCCAATCTTTTGGCTTCCCTGGGCCACATTGGAAGAATTGTCTTGGGCCACACGTAAAATACACTAGATAGCTGATGAACTAAAAAAAATTACAGAAAAAGCCTCACAATGTTTTAAGAAAGTTTACAGATTTGTGTTGGGCCACATTAAAAGCCATCCTGGGCTGCATTTGGGTTGGACAAGCTTGGTGTACATTCTACCCGCTTTCCGTTCCTTCCTGGTCTGTATCCAGTTTTGACTATCAAATACTTCAAATACCCAAGAGAATTAAACACTGGCAAAATTAATACCGTTAATGAACATAATTCATAAGAGTTGTAACTACTACTGTAATATACCTACGTTATAGCAATACAAACACAAAACAAAGACAAAGAATAATTACTTTGTCTGTACATTTGCCTTGGGTGCCCTTTAAATAGCCACCTCCCTTAGTGCATCTGAAACATGATGTGCTTTGCATTTCACATCTCAGACTTGCTCTCTTTTCCCTGAGTCTCTTCTTGAGTCCAGGGTTACCCTTGGGAGATGACACGACCCTTAAAGTTCAGTAGAACAGGAACTAGGATATATTGTTTTGAAACCTGTCTGTTCTTGTTTGTTCTCCTGACTGATTTTCAATATGGTGATTACAAGACTTACCCTCCCACAGTTCCAGTGGTGTTGTCAGAGAAACTGAGATCTCTGTGGCCAGATGGTCTTGTGATTTTTAGTGTGTGTTTTTCTGCATAAACTCAATTGAGTTTCAGACTATTTCCAGGGACTTGACACATTTCAGTCCTGTTTTTCTTTAAAGTTAAAAATCACATGTTTTGACAACTTCCTGGAACAGAGAAATGGTTCCAAAAAAAAACCCTGGAAGAATTTCACCATTTAAAGCGGGGAAAACACTCATTTCTTCTCTCCTCTCAGCGGGGTTCATCCAACTAGCTTCGGACAAACAGACCAGCAATAAACTGCAACTTAAAGAATCAGACATGCACAAGGAATCTGGCCTCATTGACAGGCTCTCCTTTTTTTTTTTTTTTTTTTTTTTTAGATGGCGTCCTGCCTGTCACCCAGGCTGGAGTGCAGTGGTACAATCTCAGTTCACTGCAGCCTCTACCTCCCAGGTTCAAGTAATTCTCCTGCCTCAGCCTCCCGAGTAGCTGGGACTACAAGTGTGCACCACCATGCCCGGCTAATTTTTGTATTTTTACTAGAGACGGGGTTTCATCATATTGGCCAGGATGGTCTCAATCTCTTAACCTTGTGATCCGCCCGCCTTGGCCTCCCAAAGTGCTGGGATTATAGGCGTGAGCCACCGTGCCCAGCCGGCTCTCCTTCTTTTTGTATATATGTTCTCTTCCTTTTAGCCAGTAATTTTTCCTAGAACGACTGCACATTTGTCCTGTTGCTAACAACATTCCCATAGACCCCCTGGTGCCCATGTCACCCTGTCATATCCCAGCAGTACTTCTCTTTCTTTGGTTGTTACTGTTTTTAAGTTTCAAAATATTCTTTCACAAAAAGATTTGCAGTATGGGGAAGCCAAGGAGAGCTTGCTTCCCCCATCAGCATCTTCTACCCAAAGCAACAAACCTTTGCAGTGAGCCTTTGTGCAGTCTGTCCTCTCAGTCTGGAGTATTTCTCCATCCTTAGTGACCAAAGCTTGTTTCTCAAGTGACATACCTTTTTTACTAAAGCAATGTTTAGGCAGTGTGCCCCACTAAAAACACACTTTTGTACATTTGTTGTACTTGTGTGGTATCCGTGTTTTGGAGTACTGTTAAACATACATGTTAAGCATACACGTTAAACGCCTGTGAATCTGTACACTTTGAGCCTTAAGCACACATACGGCTTAACATGGTGGTTAAAAGGATGGGCTTTATAGTGGAGAAACTTGAGTTTGAATGCTGGACCTGCTACTTAATAACCACATCTATGATGATTATTCATCCTTTCATAACATCAGCCTCTTCATCTCTAAAGTGGGAATGATAAGACCTACTTGCTGTGGTTTTTTTGGGATTACTTAAATGAAATATTCAGAATGCTTAGCCCAGTACCTAGATCACAGCAGAGAATCAATAAACGCCAGCCACCATTGTTGTAGTCATCACGGTGTGTCTTCAAACTTTGAAAACTTTTGAGAAACCATTTTTGAAATGAGATCTCAGGTAATATATAAAACAAAGTAGCATGCTCTGCTTGAAGAGTAAATGGAGTTCCAACTCAGCCTGCTCTGCTTCCCCCTTCCCCACCCGCTCTCTGCTCACTCTCTCCCTATGTTCCCTCATACTTCACAACAGGAAAAAACCTGAATACCACAGCTTTAAATTACATATATGCAGAATTTCCAAAGTTTACAGCATGACAACGATGGGCAGCAGATTTTTTCATCATTTGACTCTGACCTCATGGTAATTTTTTTTTCTTCTACATACTGCTAAGCCTTCTGAAAAGATTTTCAGTTTCTTGGTTTTATCTATTTTAGAATTGAAGTTCTTCAAGATCAGGGACCACATCTCTAAACTCTCCAAATAGTGTCTTAGAATCTTGTATAATAAAGGCTGCCATTTTTAGGGAAGCTGGGAAATGTTGTATACATTTGCATTTTGAATTAAAGGCGTCCTCATTTCCAGTGGATTGCTTATTTTGAATTGATAAGGTTAACTAATACATGCTGCATATTTGAATAACGTGTTAGGAACAATGGAGAAAAATTGACCCACTTTTTTGTTAAGGGTGAAGTGAGCCTGGTCCACAAAGACAAAGAAAAACATACCTAACTGGTGGCCTGAGCATGGAAGTAACAGGAGCTGAAAGAAGCTCTACTGCATCCCACCTCTCTGCTTCCCAAGGAAGCTACTTTAGCCTAGGACCATAGCCACAGTTACTACTAGAATAGGGGAGAGTTCAGGAACAAGCTATAATTAGATAGAGAAACACAAAACCAAGGCCCAGCATTTGATCCCAGGAGTATCTGTTGGCTTTTGGAGCAGCATCCTACACACAGGTGCTAAACAAAACATTTCAATGATGACGATTTCGATAAATTCTCCATAGGAAAATCTCCCTTATGGGAGGAATAAAAAAGAAAACAATGCTTCTACTCATTGGTAATTTATTCTAGACCACATTATTTTAAATTTCACTGAACAGTTATAGAATATATATAATACGCAAATATATTCATATCATTGGCAAATGAAATTTGGCTTGTAAGTTTTTTAAATGTCAGAATGTGTTGTTTTGTTTTGTTATTGTTGTTGTTGTTGTTGTTTTGAGACGGAGTCTCGCTTTGTTGCCCAGGCTGGAATGCAGTGGCACAATCTCGGCTCACTGCAAGCTCCGCCTCCTGGGTTCACACATTCTCCTGCCTCAGCCTCCTGAGTAGCTGGGACTACAGGTGCCCGCCACCATGCCCGGCTAATGTTTTGTATTTTTAGTAGAGACAGGGTCCCACCGTGTTAGCCAGGATGGTCTCAATCTCCTGACCTCATGATCCGCCCGCCTCGGCCTCCCAAAGTGCTGGGATTACAGGCGTGAGCCACCGCGCCCGGCCCCGAATGTGTTGTTTTTTAACATTTTAAAACTAGTAAATGTTGTTTATTAAAATCAAGAGCCAGCAAAATATTGAAAATACCAAAAGATATAAAAATCCATTATCCTGCTTTCCAAAGAGAATACTGTCAACATGTTAAAGTTTCTCCTTCATTCAATTAACTGTTTGGTCTTTTTAGAAAATTCTAAATTAATCAGAATTTGCTTAAAAACTAAACTTAAGAAATAGCTATGTTCATCTCTCCAAACTGAGTAAGGCTGATTAACATCCATGAGATGGTAGTTTGTCATTTTGAATAAAATCTAAATATCCAGGCTCGACCTACTAGGCCCTGTGTGAGGAAGCCCCTGCCCCTTCAGCCTTACGCCACACTGTTCCCCTCATCTGCTCCCTTATCACTGTGGCCTTCCTGCACATCTTCCCCCATCCCGGCTACCCACTGCCTTCTTCCCCGAATGCTCTGTGCTACCCTGTGGTCTCAGCATAAATGTCATTCTGCAGAGCAGTGTTTTAAATCAGGTTCCCTCCTGTTACCCTTTGCCACAGTCCCCTGCCAGGTCCTTCGTTGCATATATCACAAAATACAGTTATTTGTACTGATTTGCTTTTGGTCTTTCCCTCTCCCAACTGTGAGCTCTGTGCAGCAGGGCCACATGTGTCCTGTGTCCCTCATAAGGGGCTGAGCCACAGTAAGCAGTCGGTAGGTGTTTGCTGAGTGGAGTAGTGGAGGGACAGCACCTCGCAGGGGAGGAGCTAGATAAAACTGGATGACCTCTGGGGTGTCTTCCTTCCATATCATACATTGTATTCCGTGAGTTTCACAGTAACTCA